AAGGCAGACCCTTAACCAACTGAGCTACCCAGGCACCCCTCAAATAAAAAAATCTTTAAAAAAAAAAAAGACCAAAAAAGAAAAATCCAGCTAATGCTTGTTATGGTGGGCCAAATAAGTCCCCCACCCCCAATTTGTCCATGTTCTGATGCCTGGAACCTGTGAATCTGTTACTTGACATTGAGTCGGACTCAAAAGAGACTTTGCAGCTGGGACTAAGGTAAGAGTTCTGAGATGGGGAGATTATCTTGGATTATCTGGGCAGATCTAATGTTATCACAAGGGTCCTTGGGAGACAGAAGTAGAGGAGGGGAGGGGATGTGAGAGCAGAAGTCAGGTCAGAGTCAGAGAGAGAGAGATTCAAAGATGCTACGCTGTTAGCTTTGAAGGGGGAGGAAGGAGACCCAAGCCAAAGAATCTGGGCAGCCTCTAGAAGCTGGGAAAGGCAAGGAAACCGATTCTCTCCTAGAGGCTCCACAGAGTGCAGCCCTGTCTATACCCTGATTTCAGCCCAGCAAAACCCATCCTGGCTTCCTGACCTCCAGAACTCCAAGGTGATACATTCATGCTGTTTTAAGCCACTTATTTGTGGCAACTTGTTACAGCAGCAACAGGAGACTGCTACGCTTCCTGAGCATGGACTACACACATGGCTCCTGACTGAAGCTAGCTAGGTCTTAACTCTTTATTCTCTATCATTCTATGAGGCATTTTAGAGATGAGGAAGCTGCCGATTCATAACTGATCTCTGCTGGTCTCTACAGAGAGCTGGAGTTCAGGGACTGACAGGTGCACCTGAGAGAGTGCCCAGGATGGTATCATGAAAAGAATGCAGCAGGACCTCCCAAGAAGGGGCTGGAAGGAGGCCCTCTCCACAGAAAGGACCTCTCCCTTACCCACACGTTTATGTCATTCACACACTCTGCCTCGTCCTGAGAAGCAGTGGTCATGGGTGGAGAGGACACTTCTCACCCAGGGCATCTGCCCTCAGCGGGTGGCACCCTGGGCATGAACACTGGGGTGGGGCAAGGGCAGGGCCAGAGGAACAGTTGGCAGAGGTTCGTGTGCGCAGAGTGACCTGTGATAGAGCCCACCACCGCCCCACGTGCCCATCTTTGTTGCCTTGGTAACAGGGTTGCAGGAGCCGGTCATCAGTGAGCACTCACTTCTTACCAGCCCACGAAATTCTGCTTTCTGATGCCCCAAACTACTTCCTGGCCTACAAGAGGTCCGTTTCCTGCAGCAACTCAGCCCTCCCTCCCTGGCCCAGTGGCAAGGGCTGACACAGTAGGGCTGGCTCGCTGTACCCTGGTGACGGCTCCCCACATTCACGCTGCAGTCGGCACCCAGAGGCATGCCGCTCTGTTCAAAATCTGACTCTGCCACTCGCGGAGCCTCAGTCAAATCTGTAAAATGGGGATAATTCTCAACCTCCTTCAAAGAGTTCTTGTGAGGGTTAAATGAGATAAGCCGGATATTGCCCTTGGCACTGCGCCTGGCACATTATGAGGGTCCAATAAATGTCAACCATTGCTTTATCTTTGTCATTTCTATCATCACAACCCATGCAACGGTGTAAATAAACAGCACATGCCTCACAGGCCTAGAACAGTTGCTTGGAATAGTAAAACCCGGGGGGCTAAAAGTGTTCCGTGCTATTGTTCACATTAAACCAAATGGGCAACAGGGATTGAAATCCAGAAACAAATCTTTTGGTATCACCTTTGGCAAAAAAATTTAATCAAGTTCTAGAGCTCTCACTAGCCTATTTTCTATCTAAAATCTAGCCAAAACCCACATACATACACACTTTTTCTTTTTAATCTGAGATGAAATGGGTTACTTGGCATGACCTTGGGTTACCTTTGCTGCTTCCTTTATTCCTGACTTCACTCTGGTGGGTAGGCTAGAGAAGGAGACCCAAAGCCCCCAAGGAGGGAGGGATGATCCATAGACGGGGTCCCCGGTCCTTTAGTAATCAGGAGGCACCCACATGTTCACTAAGTTACACACTGACCTGGGTCAGGGATGATAGCAGAGGCCATAGCTCTTTATGCCTGAACACAGAACCAGCCCCTTCTAGAAGAACGATTCAGGGGGTGCATGATGTTGGGGGTAGGAAGTGGTCCCAAAACTTGATAACACATGGAGGATAGGATCCAGCAGTGTTTACTGTTTAAAGTGTGCTGCTGTGGGTACAAAAGCTGATTGCTTATTAAAAAAAAAAAGCGTTTCTAGGTCACTCATTAATGAGGCCCAGAATCAAGGGGATATGCGCCCCCCACCCACCCACCTGCACCCAGAGGAGACCCTCAGACAGCCCTCCTCATCACCTGAGATCAACTCCCTCTTTCTATTTTGATAGCTATGTTGATGCTTGACAAATGTTTACTGTTTAGAAGTTCTAAGTACGGCAGTTAAGAGCTCTTCAGGATAAAGCTGCTAAAGAAATCTCCTTTTTTTAAGAATAAATAAAAATCACACCTAAAAAAAAAAAAAGCTATGGTAAGAATGCTGGTACTGAACCCAGCTTGTACCTAAGGCTGGAGGAATGGAGTGGGGACAAATGTCCTCACAGCTTTCTGGAACTTCCCTGGTCTTCAACCAGGCTGCACATTAGAATCACCTGGAAAGCTTTTATAAAATACTGATGTAAGGCAGTGAAAATACTCCATGAGATACTATGATGGTGGATTCATGTCCTTACACATTTGTCAAAACCCATAATATGCATAACACTAACAGTGAACTCTAAGGTAAACATGGACTTTGGGTGATGATAACATTTCAGTGTAGGTTCATCAACTGTAACGAGAATACCCTCTTGGTGGGGGATGCTGATGATGGGGGAGGCTGTGTATATTTGGGGGTAAATGGGAAATCTCTGTACCTTTTGCTAATATTGCTGTGAACCTAAAACTGCTCTTAAAAATATAAAGCCTTAAAAAAACAACAACAACAACAAAAAAAACCCTGATGTCCAGGGCCCAACTAGACCAATTAAACAGGAGACAGACTGGGAGGGGGGGCCTGGGCGGCGCCATTTTATTAAGCTCTCAGGTGATTCTGATGTACAGAGAGGATTGAGAACCAGGATGCTAATTAGAAGAAAGCACCTGTGATTTCGGGTCTAGGCATTTAAAACTCATACTATGACTGTCCCTAGCATTTGGCTCGAGGTGGTATTTTGGCCAGGCCATTTGGTACTGGTGCCTTTTGGTCACTCCTTGAGTGGGGACACAGTTTTGAAGTTCATCATGGTGGGCTATGAATTTCAAGACAATGTGCAGGGCGCCTGGGTGGCTCAGTTGGTTAAGCGACTGCCTTCGGCTCAGATCATGATCCTGGAGTCCCTGGATCGGGTCCCGCATCGGGCTCCCTGCTCGGCGGGGAGTCTGCTTCTCCCTCTGACCCTCCCCCTCTCATGTGCTCTCTCTCATTCTCTCTCTCTCAAATAAATAAAATCTTAAAAAAAAAAAAAAAGACTGTGCAGATTTCAGACAGTGATTAAAGACTATTCTTACCCCTATTTTTAATAAGTCAATATACCATTTCCATGAATTACTTCTGTAAGAGAAACACACTAGAGACAGGTATGGCTCAACATATTTGTATTCTATTTATTTTTCATGCAGACACCTAGTTAAGAAAGCCAGAATTCCTGTCCTCAAACAAGTAGCAATGTAGGAGAGAAAATTAATGCCGCTACCTTTGTCCTCAATAATAGCATCCATTCACTAAG